CAAAACCGAAAAGGAGGTTCAGGGATCAGATGCACTTTAACCATTTAACCCTTTAACTGCCACTTATGTACATTGGCGGCAGCAGGGACCTGTTTACATTCTGCAGGCTGTTGGCTTTCTGCTACAAGTGATTTGGGCTGCTGTAAAGACGCTGCGTCCCTTTTTATAGTAGAAGGAAATAAAGGAGCTTTCCATTAGAATGTGTCTACATGAGCAGACGAGAGACTGATGAGCTCATCCCTCTGCTCTCCCTTCCTGTCAGTACAGAGTATTACAAGAGGCTGATACTGAATCAAATTGCGTCCCTTACACAAGATACATTTAAATAACTTTTTTTGTTTTTCATGAATACTGAGTGCAGTCATGGAGTCTTTCATACAAGAACCAAGTCAACTCGAATACAGGTCTATGGAACTCGCAGTACAGGTTTAAGGTTCAGGTCTGATTAGGAGAGGGGAACTTTCTTCTTCAGTTCCCTCCTCTGCTGATTGACAGCAGGCAGTGGGCGGGTGCAATAGTCAGCCTGCTATTGCAATTTGAACTATCCAATAACAGGCTGGCTATTGGTCCCAGCCACTGTATGCTGTGAAAGGTGTCCTCTCCCTAACTAAAGCTATTAAAGTGGAAAGGTGACAAGAGGAGTCTAATTGAACCCCTTATGTCACATTAAAGAGAACCTGTCACCTCCAATGTGCTATCACATAGGGGCTTGTGTGCTCCCCCCATGTGATAGCAATGAAGTTAAGTAAAAAAATAAAGCAGTAAGGGGGTTAATCCTGAATTTGAAACTCATGAATAAGGCAGCAGATTCCTGATGCTGTAGGTGCTTTCTCTGTTTATGGAGGCGTTGGACATTAAAGGGGTTCTAAACCCTCCCGTTTTTTTGCCTATATCTACTGCTATCAAGCAGTAGATATAGGCAAACAGTTTAAGAATAAAAAATAAAAAAAATCCCCGCTTTAACAGCGGTTTAAACTTACTTTGTTTTCGCTGCGCGCTCCTGCCCGAGAAACTGAAACTGTTCGGGCGGCCGCAAAGCATCTTGGGGCGGGCGCATGCGCAGTTCGGATTCTCGGCCGGGAGACGAGCAGAGACGCAAGGTGAGTCTATGGACGCGTGCACCCGCATGCACACACCGCGGGATCAGAAGTGCCTGCAAGTAGAGAGGAGTCAGCGCTGGATGGGAGACCCGCCGCACCGCTGGAGGGACAGATGAAAACATCAGGAAAGAAGAAGAAGAAGATCGGATTAAGAGACATCATTTAAGGTAAGTGCTGACATTAACA